AGTTAAGGGCAGGATTCTGGCCAAGAGGATCAATGTGGGGATTGAGCACATTAAACACTCGAAGAGCAGAAACAGCTTCCTGAAGCGGGTGGAGGAGAACGATCAGAAGAAAAAGGAAGCCAAAGAGAAGGGCACCTGGGTTCAGCTGAAGCGCCAGCCTGTGCCACCCAGAGAAGCACACTTTGTGAGGACTAACGGGAAAGAGCCCGAGCTGCTGGAGCCCATTCCATACGAATTCATGGCCTAGTGTACAAAAGAGAAACAAAGGACCCGACTGCAGAGTTTTTCCTTTAAAAAAAGAAAGATAGAAAGTAAGTAAGAAAGGAAGGAAGGAAGGAAGGAAGGAAGGAAGAAAGAAAGAAGCAAGCAAACAAACAAACAAAAGAATAACAAGAAAAAATGCCCATACAAAGCAAAATGAGACAAAAAGTATACAAAGATACCAGTGGGCTGGCTTGTTTTGTGCTGGCCAGCTGTGCCTGGGGCAGGGGCCTGTCCTGAGATGTGGTAATACACCCAGGGAGACTCCACTGAAGAAAACTGATGTTTCCTTTGCCAGCAGCAGATCTCAGTTTCAGCTAGTATCTTGCTCAGGGGTGGGAGCCTGTATCCGCTTGTCTCTTTCAGTGCTGTTATCTGATTAGCTTGAACCTGGGCAGGCCCTGTGGGTGCTGCCAACATCTCTGTGAATTCATATGCATTCTTGTTGTATCTGGAAGACACTGTTTCCTCACACTCATCCATCACCTGGGTCTCTTACAGTCTTTCTACCTCGACTTCGAGAGATTCCTGAGCATCGCAGGGTGCATGGAGGTTCTAATGAAGATATCCCATTTGGGACTAAGTGCTTCAAAATGTCTCCCTCCCTTCACAGTGTCCAGTTGTAAGTCTCTGTGTTAGACTAAGACAGGAAGCCTCTCTGATGAGGACTGAGTTAGGAACTGATTTATTAGTACAGCGCATTGTCATTAGGGGTCACTTATTGCTATGTTCCTTTAGCAGAATAATAGTATTAGGTTTTCCCCTAGGTCCATGACCAACCTAATCAGGTTCTTGGTCACTTCACAGGCGTGGGTCCCATCTCCTTGAGTGGACCTTAAATCCCCTCAGAGAGTGGTTGGTTACTTCTGTAACCTTTGTGTCACCTTGCATCAGTGTACCTTGTCACCACTGTAGGTTGCAGGGTTTGTAGCTGGGAGACATTGATGATTCCCTTCTCCTCTGGTAGCGTGCAAGTGCACCTTCAGGTACCATGAACACTTGCTGATACATGACATGTTTGATGGTCCCATTCTGACTGCTTATCTAACTCCTATACATACTTCTTTTTTTTTTTTTTTGGTTTGGTTTTTCAAGACAGGGTTTCTCTGTGTAGAACCTGGCTGTCCTGGAACTCACTCTGGAGACCAGGATAGCCACGAACTCTCTCTTTTTTTTTTTTTTTTTTTTTTTTTTTTTGGGTTTTTTGAGACAGGGTTTCTCTGTATAGCCCGGGCTGTCCTGGAGCTCACTCTGTAGACCAGGCTGGCCTCGAACTCAGAAATCCGCCTGCCTCTGCCTCCCAAGTGCTGGGATAAAAGCCGTGCTCCACCACCACCCGGCTTCTTATGCATACTTCAAAACAATTTGCAAACAGTGTGTCACGAATAGGCAGATAAGCACAAGGAATGAACATAACTTAAGACAAGAAAAAAAGAGCTGGTGATGGCTATTTTTTCCCCTTCCTTTCTCCCTCTTGTTCTGGCTCCGCTCACTCCGGCCCAAAGGTTTGTTTGTTTATTTATTTATTTATCTATTTATTATATGTAAGTACACTGTAGCTGTCTTCAGACACCCTGTAAGAGGGCATCAGATCTCATTACAGATGGTTGTGAGCCACCCGTGGTTGCTGGGATTTGAACTCAGGACCTCCAGAAGAGCAGTCAGTCTTCTTAACCACTGAGCCATCTCACCAGTCCTGTTATTTATTTATTTATTTATTTATTTATTTATTTATTTATTTATTTTTTGGTTTTTCCAGACAGGGTTTCTCTGTGTGGTCCTGGCTGTCCTGGAACTCACTCTGTAGACCAGGCTGGCCTCGAACTCAGAAATCCACCTGCCTCTGCCTCCCAAGTGCTGGGATTAAAGGCATGTGCCACCACTGCCCGGCCTGCTGTTATTTATTTTTAATTATGTCTGTATGTATACATGTCACATAGTACAAGGAGACCAGAAGGAATCAGATCCCTTGTAGCTAGAGTTACAGGTGGATGTGAGCTGTCCAACATGGTGCTGGGAACTGAACTTGGGTCCTTGGGAAGAGTAGCAAATATTCTTACGCACCAAGCTATCTCTTCAGCCCCAAGTGATGGCAATATTTTAATAAGAAATTCCTCTGGCTATAAGAATTAGGTGGAGGGGCTGGAGAAATGGCTCAGAGGCTAAGAGCACTGACTCCTCTTCCAGAGGTCCCAAGTTCAATTCCCAGCACCCACAGGTGGCTCACAACCATCTGTCATGGTAATACCCTCTTCTAGTGTGTCTGAAGACAGCAACAGTGTATTCACACATATAAAATAAATACATCTAAAAAACTTGTTAAAAAATAATTAGGTGGAGAATCTACTGTGCAATTACTTCATATATCATTAAATAAAAATGATTTATTTGCTCTTCGTATGATATTTTGTCCTTTAGTTAACTTTCCTAGCTCTGTTCCCCTGACAACCTGTGTGGGCCTGTGTGGTATCTGTCTTTATATAATGTGGCTCAAACCACACCTGAGATGGTACATGCCTTGTTCAAGAAAACAAAGCCACTAACAGAGTGTGGGCATCACAGCAACATAAAAGTGTCACCTGAGTTTCCAGTGTGAACCTAAGACTACTGAAGTACAATTGAAATACCTTTCCAGGGGTGGGATCTAAGTCAGTAAGACAGTACTTGCCCAGCGTGGACAAGGTCCAGGATACACCACCTATTACTGAGAAAACCAATGAAACCAAAAGATTTTGCTTTTTTTTTTTTTAATAAGATTGACATTTTTTAAATAATTTATTTTATTTTAATTTATGTGCTCTGGTTTGAGGGTATCAGATTTCCTGGAACTGAAGTTAGAGACAGTTGTTAGCTACCATATGGTTGCTGGGAATTGAACCCGGGTTCTCTGGAAGAATAGCCAGTGCTCTTAACCATTGAGCCATCTCTCCAGCCCCTTTGCTTATGCTTGCTTGCTTTCTCCTCCTCTTCCTCCTCCTCTTCTTCTTCTTCCTCCTCCTCCTCTTCTTCCTCCTCCAATGGCTTTTTTTCTTGTAGACAACACAAAATTAGGTATGTAACTTATTGCAGTACTAGAGATCAGACCCAGGGCCTTCCTAATGGTAACGAGCTGCACCTCCAGTTCTGCTAGCTAAGGTTGTTCACACTTTAAATCCCAGCCCTTGGGAGGCAGAGGCAGTCAGAACTTCAGGAGTATGAGGCCAACCTGGTCTACATAGTGGGTTCCACAGCAACCAAGGCTACACAGAGAAACCCTGTCTCAGAATACAGACAGACAGACAGACAGACAGACAGACAGACAAAAGCTTTAGCTCATCGACAACAAGATAATGCATAAATGCCCGCTGATAAATGCTTCTCACTGGGTATTGATCAAGAGACAGAGAGACAGGTGATTTCACCGCTTTTTGAAACTGTATTAAAATTAAAGGAAGACTGGGATTTCTTTTAAAGTCCACTTTGGGTACTTTAACATAAGAAAGGTCTATGAAAGTACCTTCTGGTGCACCTGCCATCTGTGGACTTTCCTGTCCTTTGATACTTTAAAGACACTTCTTTGCTAGAATTGCATCTTGGCTGCAGAGTGGCTTAAAACCTGTTCTAGCCAGCTCCTTCCTTCTGGAAAGTAAGCTCCTTCCTTCTAAGACTCATTGATGCATTTATTTTATGTATGGGTACACTGTCACTGTCTTCAGACACACCAGAAGAGGGCATCGGATCCCATTACAGATGGTTGTGAGCCACCATGTGGTTGCTGGGATTGAACTCAGGACCTCTGGAAGAGCAGTCGGTGCTCTTAACTGCTGAGCCATCTCTCCAGCCCTAGAAGGTTTTCTAAAGCCTGAATGTTACTTAGGCATGCACACCACCCCCCAACCCCATGCTCAAGTCTAGGCATAGGTGACAGGGTGTCAATAGGACACGTATGTCCAGGAATGTCAGCAGGATGTGTATGACCAGGTTGCATGTCTGGGAAATGACTAAGAAAACCAGGGAGTCTTTTGATTTTTACCCAAACGACTTACTTTATAATCTCAGAATAGGGGATTTGTGTGTACGGAGCTGTCATATAGCAGACTAGATGGGACACTGCCCTGCCCTGGCTCACAGCCTCTCCTCTGGGCTCACTTAACTCAATCCAGGTGGACAAGCAAGGGGGCCAAACGAACTTGGAGTTTGTTTCAATGTTTGTCTGCACATAGCTTCCTCCAGCCTTTAGGAGTGCCGTCTTAGGTTTAGGGAGTACCTTTTATGACCATGTAGTCGGCCCTGCCTGCTTTTTATCAAAGCAGATTCCCAGAAAATTAAACTGCGGAATTCGTTACGGTTACGAGAAGCCTGGCAGGGGAAAGACAGATGTTCTGACATAGTCTTGCCACCTCTTCGGAAGACAGTAATGATGTAAGAAAGTAAAAGACAGGCATAGTACTAAGCAGGGAGGTTTTCTTATTTTCCTCCTGCCCAGAGTCAGCTTCTCAGCAGGAAAATTAGGAAGCCTCAGGGCTCAACCCTGATTCAGTCAGAACCAAGGAGAGACCAACAAAACCGTCAGACTCCATGCTGAAAAGTCATTAGTCTTTTGAGTCACAGTATCCAACCTCCGCTAGGAAGTCTAACAAAAAAATCCAAGTGTAACAACATCGCGGGGAGACAATCCCCAAGTCTCACAAAACTCAACAGATGGTAGCTTTCACCGCAGAACGAGCCATAATACTTAAAACCTGCCCACCGAGTCACTGCTATGTAAGTGTCTCTGGGGCTGGTAAGTTGGGCCGAATGTGTGGTTTGTCGTCAGAATCATCAGCAGCCGGGTCGTTCTCCTCACCGGACTCTATGTAGATGGGCCAGTCGTCTGTGTCGCTCTTCTCGTGGCTTTCAGAAGCCTCCACCAGGCTAAGGTTGACAGGCATCAGGTCGTCATCTTCATCGTGGGGGTCTGTGACACAGGTGCAGCTGTCACACAGCCCAAAGCGCCTCAGCCCCTGGGACAAGTGGCTTGTAAAGGTTCTTCGACAGCCTTTGCAGATAATTGGACGGCTGGATCTGTGGACCTGCCAGCACAAGGGGACACGGTAAAGGTCACAGAAAAGCTGGAGAGATGACTCGGCGGTTAGGAGCGCTTGCTAGGCAAATGGAAGCGTGTTGCTCTCTTGCCTCGGGGTGCCACTTTTGGTGGGAAACTAGGGATACAGCTTATTCTACGTCCTTATCAGGGGAAGAGAACCACAGTCTGCTGGCCCTGCCAGTTCTGGTCTCATGACAGCCATCCTTGAACAAAAGCTAAGCTTCTTAGAAAACTAGCCTGTTCACACACCAGTGTTAACTTTCTTCTTCTTTTTTTTTTCTTTCTTTTTTTTTTTTTTAGAGGGCATCAGATCCCATTACAGATGGTTGTGAGTCATCATGTGGTTGCTGGGACTTGAACTCAGGACCTCTGGAAGAGTAGTCAGTGCTCTTAACCTCTGAACCATATCACCAGCCCTAGTGTTAACTTTCTAAGTGCCACTACCAGCCCAGCTTTAACCTGGCAAAAGAAAACTTCACAAACTTCTCTAAAAGATCTCTAGATGACAGAGAAGTGACAGACAGGCCCACCCTCATATTAGAAAACAAACACAATCCTTACAGTGACATCACTGACACTTACGCTCAGGGCGTGACTCCGAAGGTGCTCCTGTCTCGTGAACCTCTTGCCACACGTCTCGCAGGGATAAGGCCGTTCGCCAGTGTGTGACCGGATGTGCCGCTTGAGGATGCCCTTCTGCTTGGCAGTGTAAGGGCAGAAAGGACACTTGTGGAGCTTGATGGGGACCACCAGCACGTCACCTGAGGAAACCAACAGACTCAATTAGCTGTCAACAGGGACAACCACAATCACCTTTTGGGGTGGGACTGGGAAACACCCTCAACCCAGACAGAGAGGGAGATACCAACTCCACCTGCTAGTAAGCGGCAAGATTGACCAGTACAAGTCCCACTGTGGCTTCCAAAAGGTCAAAGGTCAAGTCAACTAAGCAGACTTTCCCCCCATCCCTTCCCCATGCTTAGACATTGAACCCAACCCAAGGCCTTGAATGTGATACCCCAATGCTCTTTCACTAAGACCTATCCCCAAGCTGGGCAGTGGTGGCGAACGGCTTTAATCCCAACACTTTGGAGGCAGAGGCAGGCAGATTTCTGAGTTCGAGGCCAGCCTGGTCTACAGAGTGAGTTCCGGGACAGCCGGAACTACACAGAGAAACCCTGTCTCAAAAAACCAAACCAAAACAAAACAAGACAAAACAAAACAAAACAAAACAAAACAAAACAGAAATGCCTATCCCCACTTACTCAGCTTAGTTTCTGGTCAGGAGCATTAAGCTTTAATAGCTGGGACATCTTTCCAGCCCATGAGAGGTGTTTTCGCTATTAAGATTTTTGTTAATTTAATTTTATTCACATAAATGGGTATGTCTGTGTATTAATGCCAGGTATGTATGAGTACCCATGGGGGCCAGAATACTCTGGGACCAAACTTGGGTCCTCTAGAAGAGTAGCCAGAGCTCTGAACATCTCTCCAGCCCCATGTTCTGAACGTTTTACAAACATTTTGTGGTATATCAAAATTATTTTTGTCTTCCCTGTACACAGCTCGCCTGCAACACCTAGTGTGATTCATCCTGGTGTAAGCTGTAAACAGCCAGTCAACGCTCCGTGTTGTACCAATGTACATGCAACCGTAGAGACTCTTACTTGGAAATACTAGGAAACCAACCTACACACACTCATCATAAAAACATTGTGATACCTGATATACCAGCCTTCAAATTCTTGTACCTACAGGCCTATCATTAAAGCCAGTAACATCAACTGCGGTTTTATCCCAAACTTGGGGGCTACAGTGATGTTGGTTTGAATGAGAAATGTTCCCCATAGGCTCGTGTAGTTGAACCCTCAGTCTCTGGCTGGTTGCACTGTTTGGAGATAGTGCCTAGCAATTCAAGATTCTTTAAAGATTAAGTAGTTTATTTGGAAACAGATGGAGAGATAGGTGGGAACAGAAGTCCCATAAGGCATGGTAAATTTGTGCGTGTTCTAGGAGGTTTATATTTTAAACATGATGAGCCTGGGATTCCTTGTAACTCTAAAAGAAATCTAAAATTTCACTGAAAGGCTCAGGGGAAGGTGTACTTTCAGTTTATTTATCACAGGCACTGGTTTTCCGGAACTAGCTCTGAAGCCAGGAGAACACCAATATGGCCCAGGTCCGGAAGCCTCACACCTACTGAAATGCCAGGATCTCTAAGATCAGGAGACTTACTTCCAAAACTAAGGGCCCATCTAAACTACCAAGATCATGTCCAACGTATTGAGGTGCCTCTCCAATTCCTAGGATCCCACGCAAACTATCTGGCCCACCTCCAAAACTAGAAACTTGTAGTCTCAGACCAGGAAAGCCACGATTTGAAAGTGGCCTCCCTTGACCTTACAGTCAGCAAGGTACGCTCTCCCACTGGGCCCCAGGCTCTCCAGTGGCAGCATCCCTCACTAGGCACTCCTGGTACCACAGGATGATGCCACATGGACACCTTTAGCTCCTTTCTCCAAGAGCCACGGGGTTTTCCTCAAGACCTCTTACTGTAACTTCTAGAGTAACAACACAAACGAAAATTTCTTCCCCATTCAGTTCTTTTGCTGTGTTCTATTTTGGTTTGGTTTTTTACTGTTTAAGAATTCAAACTTAATGTGTACCATCTCCATCTTAAAGATTTCTAAATGTTATTTATTATCATCACTGTTACTGTATGTTCATGACGTTTGTGTGAACACGGGTACGCACGTGTAAGCGCTACAGCCCGCATGTGGAGGTCAGAGGACACCTTTTGGGAACTGGCGCCCTTCCTTCACTGTGGGCTCCAGAGTAAAGCTCAGGTTGTCAGGTAGACATGACAAGCCTTCTTACCACTGAGGCATCCCATTGGCCGTCATCTTTATTACTAAACTAAGCCAACGCCTATCCTAGACCTTCCTGTTATTATCAACAGTATGTGTAGCATCTTCATCCACGGGGACTCCTTCTAGGCACTGAAGAACATCCACCTAGGTAATGCTGACAGAAATATTTGTTTTGTGGATACAAACTTTAGAAGAGTTGTTGTTTGTTTTGTTTGTTTTTGGAAGGACAGCGGCAGGATCTCCTGTAGCTCAGGCTGGCCTCAAACTCACTATGCACCAAGGGCTTGGATTCTGATTCCCTGCTCTCAAGGGCTGTGATTACAGGCATGAGTTAGCACGTCCTGATGGACTTCTTTTCTTGTCCTTTTTTCCCTGAACATTAACAACTCCTCACATAGGCTGACATCCTGTCAGGGATTATAAATAACTGAAGGATGATTTAAAGAACACAGGACACTGTTAACAAACACTATCACTTCATGTATTTAAAATGTTTTTATTTTATATGTATGGATGTCTTACCTACATGTATGTCTGTGTACTATGTACATGCACTGCCCGAGGAAGTCAGAAGAGGGCATTGGATCCCCTGGAACTAGAGTTACAGACAGTTTGCAACATATCACTAATAGCCCTTTTTGGTCTGGAATTTCCTATCTAGGCCAGGGTGGCCTTGAACTCACAGAGACCTGCTTGCCTCTTCCTCCCACATGCTCTTGCAGGGCATGTGATACCGACAGTATCAGTTTACAGAGAGGACTTGAGCACCTGGTGGATTTTATCATCTAAGGGGAGTCTTGGAACCAACTCCTCATGGACATCAAAGGATGACCACACCCTGTCTAGGCAACACAGAGACACACAAAAAAGAGTCAGGCAAAGGACTCAGTCAGTGACATGCCACAAGAGAAAACATGAGGACCTCATTTTGTTGTTGTTTTTTTTGTTGTTTTTCTTTGTTTATGTTGTTTTTTCAACACAGGGTTTTGCTGTATAGCTTTGGCTGTCCTGGAACTCATTACATAGACCAGGTTGGCCTCCAAGTCACAGAGATCTGCCTGCCTCTGCCTCCTGAGTGCTGAGATTAAAGCTATGCATTGCTACTGCTGCCCAGCAAGGACCTGATTTTACCTGAGCACCTGTGAAAAGCCAAGCCTGTCTACACATACCTATAATTCCAGCAATGGAAAAATGGAGATAGTTGGATCCCTGGAGGTCCGGGTCACTGGCCAGTCAGGCTAAGCAAACTTAGCAAGCCCTTGAGAGACCCTATCTCAAAAAAACAGGGTAGGAACTAAAGAGACAGATGAACAGGTTAGAGCACCAGTTGCTCCTTCAAAGGACCTGGGTTCAGTTCCCAACATTCACACGACAGCTCAGAGCCATTAGTAACTCCTGACCTAGGACATCCAACGCCCTCTTCTGGCCTCTGCACACATACGATGTACAGACTTACACGGGGGCAAAAGTTCCTGCATCTGAAACAAAGTAAGATATCTTACAATTACAAAAAGCAAGAACAAAGTGGACATCTCTTGAGGTGCAACATCTAATACAGTCCTCTGATGTCTATATGCTCGTGCGCGCACACATGCGCACGTGCGCACACACACATACACACAGTGCAGAAAGAAACAAGGTTCTATATACAGGAAGTCCTTAATAACTATCGATAGTGGTGGTGGCAGCAGCAATGGTGTAGCAGTAGCAGCGGTGGCATGATAGCAGTGAGGGTCCCAATGAGGGGCGGACACAAGGCACAGAACCCACTAAATGCTGCCAGAGAGATGCCTGCAACCCAAACTCACCTGAGTCTTCTCTATACCAGTCGTTCTGAACGTCCATCACGGAACTCATGGGCACTCCTGGACCTTCCAGTCTTCCCTCCAAGCCACGAGAAAAGTGATGATCCGCGTCATCTTTGCTCTGGACAGCACCATTGCGCAGGAGAGCCTCCAGGAACTGTTTCATGTGGTAGCTACTGTACGTCAGATCCAAGGCCTGGTTACTGGGCAGACCTTCCTCGGCATGGGCCAGTGGGGCGGCGTACTGCTGCAGTTGTTCGTCAGCCTCCACCTCCACTCTGGCAACATCGAATTCCACCTTAGGTTCAACCCGTCTGGGCACAATACAAAAGTCACTGTCGGAGGCACCAGAGCCCTGGCTGTCTTTCGACACCAGCTCCAAGGGATGGCAGTCATCACAAGGAGATGATCTTGTACAATCCAGACTCCCTTCTCCGTCTACTGGGGAGGAGACAAAGTTCTTAGTGCCACAGGAAGTCCCCTCCAGTCCTGAACTTGGACTCTCAATGTCTATGTGATGAGCTGCAGCTGCCGCCGCGGCCGCCGCCGCCACTGCCGCCGCCACAGCGGCCTCCTTCTCCATCTTTCTGCAGATGTCCAGGGATGACCTGATATATGTCTTGCAGAAGTTGACCACGTCATTCATCTGCAGGTAGCTGGCAGCTGACATGACTTCAATCACGTTCTCGCCACACAGATCCAACTTCCCAGAGTAGAGGAAGTCTAGGATGGTGGAGAAGGCGTCAGAGGTGACTATGTCCAAGGAGGCTGTGCTGTGCCGCCCGCTGTCCTGGATGTAGTGAAGGAGCAGGGCGCGGAAGTAGCCACTGTTAGCGAACAGAATGTTCCTGTGGGCTTTGAAGATGCGCCCTTCCACGATGATGCTGCAGTCACAGAAAAAGTCTCGTTTCCGCTGCTCATTCAACTCCCCCAAGAGCTTCGCGCAATAGGACTGTGCCTCCATGTCTCCGCCAGCCGCTGCTGCTCTGGAGGGGCCTGAGGCGCTGCCAAGATTTTTATTTACGTTAATTCTCGAATTCCGACCTTACAATAGGCTGATAATATTTTGTTTTGATTTTCTGTAGCCCAGGCTGGCCTTGAATTTTCTATGTAGCCTAGGCTGGTCTTGAACTCCTGGGATTGTAGGGGTGGCTCACCAGCCCCCAGTTTATGTGGTGCCTCAACCTAGACTTCCTGTGTGCAAGGCAAGCATTCGACCAACTGATCTATAGCCCCTGGCTTCTAGAAGTTCATATATTATCATCTATTATATTTCAAAGCACTGGTTCAGGGTTGCAGAGATGACTCAGTAATTCAGAACACTTTGTTGCTCTTGAAAATGATCTGGGTTCGGTTCCGAGCACCCACGCAGTAATTCACTACTCTCCTTAACTCCAGTTCCAGAGGATCCAACAACCTGACAGACCTCAACAGGCACCAGGCACTCATGTTCATACACATCTATACATGCAAGCAAAACACTCACATAAAATAAATAAATCTAAAAACATTAAAAAAAAAAAAAACCCTACTGGACCAATGGTGTTTTCACGATGTAGGCTGTTTTGAATAACTGGTTGGAAGGATAAAAAAAGAACAAAGTTAAGTAAAGCCAGATAAGTACATGTGGGCACAGTAGTTGGTGTTTTACGTGGATTCTCTCCACAACTTTTTATAAAAGGCCTGTGAGGGTAGCAGGTAAGGGGGTGCACTCCTGTGATGCTTGTACTCAGGAGGCTGAGGCAGGGGGATCAGTTCTGGGCCAACGTGAAATGAGACCCTGTCTCTAAATAAATAAATGTGTGGGGGCATGGAGGACAGCTCAGTGGTTAAGGACACTTGGTGCTCTTTCAGAGGACCAGAGTTCGGTTCCCAGCATCCACACTGGGCAGCTCACAACCACTTGTAACTCTAGCTCCAAGGAATTCAACACCCTCTTTTGGTCTCCACGGGCATTCCACATACACATAAATCACAACCTAGCTTCTATTTTTTTTAATTTTTATTTTATTTATTTATTTATTTATTTATTTATTTATTTATTTATTTTGAGACAGGGTTTCTCTATATAGTCCTGGCTGTCCTGGAACTCACTCTGTAGACCAGGCTGGCCTCAAACTCAGAAATCCGCCTGCCTCTGCCTCCCAAGTGCTGGGATTAAAGGCGTGCGCCACCACTGCCCAGCTTTTCTTCATTTTTTTTCTTTTCTTTTTTTTTTTAAGATTGATTTTATGTATATGAATACACTGTAGCTGTCTTCAGACGCACCAGAAGAGGGTATCAGATCCCATTACAGATGGTTGTGAGCCACCATGTGGTAGCTGGGAATTGAACTCAGGACCTCTGGAAGAACAGTCAGTGCTCTTAACCGCTGAGCCATCTCTCTCCAGCCCCTTTTTCTGTATCTTAGCATTTAGATATTAGCCAGCAGCCTCAGCTCAAATCTTCTATCACTATTTTGGGAAGAAATCTGGTAGATCCCTGGGCTTGTCAGCACACACATCCCCTTCCAAGGGTTCTGGTACCTCTAAGATTGCTACAGAACTCTTCTTCCCCCTCTCTTGGCCAATATGCTATGCATGAAGCAGGCACCATCCAGCTCAGGTTCCAGGTGTGTAGGTGCCGGGAGCCAAACCCAGGAAACTACCTGCTGTCCTAAGAGAACCTCGGGAAATTATCTGCTGTTCTGGAAAACCCTGTCAGTACAAGGTTAAGAAAGGACGTTCTCAGGTCTCAGGTCCCAAGAACTTAAAGAACGTCTGGCATTTCCTGGGAGCCGGTTATGACAATAGGATGGTCTAGGGCAATAAGGATATGACAATGGGATGGTCTTAGACAATGAGGACTCAATAGTGGGATAGCCCTAAGCAATGACCCTCGCCCAAACTTCCCGGTTTGCTGTGTCTTTATAACCTGCACCGATATTAAAGTTTCAGAGCTTGATCAGAACCCCAGACTTGCTCTCCTTTTTTGTGTCTCTTGTCCCTTCATTCTTTCACCCCCTTCCCTAGGGTCTCGTCGAATCCCCGAGGACCGGGACATGTAGGCTGTCCTATCGGCTACTATGATCAATGCATCTTACTCTCTGACCATCAGTGATTGACTCAGAGGGCACGGTGGCTAGAACCAGTGAAAAGCAATGGAATCTTTGTTGGGCTTCTGAAAGGGGCATCCTGCTCTGTGAGCTCAGAGAACGTGAGGAATGTGCAGCTGCATCACCAGAGGAACCAGCCTAACAAAGGCGACAGCTGATGGCACCTGGGGACACTAGCTAAGTCCTACCTAGCTCAAGCTGTGTCTGAACCAATTAAGTCCCTTTTTGCGTTAGCTGCTCTTGGTGATAGAACTAACTCCACTACCCTTGGTTAATGCCTTCCTACTGTTACAGTCCTTGCCTTCTGTCAGAAGATGGCCTGCCCTTTAAAGGCACGGGCGTGTCTTATTAAATCTGACAGTCCTCATAGCACCTGACAGACTGCTTTGGTTAAGGAATGTTTGCTCAGTTGAAAGCCATGCTCCTATTTTTAAATGCTAGACAGAACAAGGAAATCAAGCTTACACTCAATCTTCCTGATGGTGAGGGGAAAGGAGGTGCTAGCCTTCTGTCCCAAGTGCCCCTTCCCTCTCCCATCAGACCCCAACCATCCGTCAACCACTCCTTCACTCCTTCACTGACCCACTGCAGTCCTGGGCAACTGTAGTCAGCTCTCTGTAGCCCGAGCTTCTACATCTATGCTTTCAATTAGCAACGAATGAAAAATATTTAGGGGGAGGAAGGTTAAACTTGTATGTTTTGTGTGTGTGTGTGTGTGTGTGTGTGTATGTAGGGGGGGCAGCTGGGGGACATATGTGCCACAGTATTCACGTGAAGGTCAGAGGACAACTTATGGAAGTTGATGCTCTCCTAACATGTATGTCCCTGGGGTTGAAGCCAGGGCTGGCAGCAAGCACCTTTACCCACAGAGCCATAGCAACAGCCCAATTCCTATATTTTTAGATTCATCTTAAACTCAACAAATTATATCATAATCCTAAAAAAATTTTCATCCAAAGTAGTTAAGTGTACACTATACTTTAATACTTTATGAGGAAGAGCATTGTTTCATATCTGTAGAAATTTTAAATATATTATATATATATACATATATATACAAAAATATATTTACATGTTAGGTATATTAAATATATGTATATTTGGTTTTTTGAGATAGGGTTTCTCTGTGTAGCCCTAGCTGTCTTAGAACTCACTCTGTAGACCAGACTGGCTTTGACTTCACAGAGATCTGCCTGCCCCTGCCTCCCCAGTGCTGGGACTGAATGAAGGTGAGCGCCACCTCCACCCGGCTAGATATACTTGTTTTTATTATGAGATGTTTGCCACCTGTGTGCCCAATCCCTGTGGAGAGCCTAAGAAGGAATCAGATCCCTGGGAACTGGAGTTACAGGTGGCTATGCGCCACCATGTGGGTGCTGGGAATTGAACCCGGTCCTCTGCAAGAGTAGCCAGTGATCTTAGTCACCTCTCCAGATCCCAGGGCTGTAGAATTCTACTTCTTCTATATAAATCAACCTGGGACGGTTCCCCAGTGGAAGGCTTCGTTGTGTTCTCACCTTGACCAAAACAAAACAAAAACAGAAATACTTCCTCAAGGATGGTGGCCCAGCACCTGCCAGTTTAGTCAGTTCTTTTCTTTTTCTTTTTTTCTTTTTTTTTTTTTTTGGATTTTCAAGACAAGGTTTCTCTGTGTAGCCCTGGCTGTCCTGGAATTCACTCTGTAGGCCAGACTGGCCCCGAACTCAGAAATCCACCTGCCTCTGCCTCCCAAGTGCTGGGATTAAAGGCGTGAGCCACCATTGCCCAGCTAACTATTTCTCTTTAAAGAGTCTCTGACTGTTGGGCTGCAGAGACTGCTCAGTGGTTATGAGCACCGGCTACTCTTCTAGAGGACCAGGATTCAATTCCCTGCAACCACATGGCAGCTCATGTAACTCCAGTTCCAGGGGAGCTAGTGCCCTCTTTGAGCTTCTGTAGGTGCCAGGAACATATGTGGTATATAGACATACACCCAGGCAAAACACCCATACAGAAGATATTTTATTTTATTTTATTTTATTTTATTTTATTTTATTTTATTTTATTTTATTTTATTTTATTTTTTGGTTTTTCGAGACAGGGTTTCTCTGTGTAGCCCTGGCTGTCCTGGAACTCACTCTGTAGATCAGGCTAGCCTCGAACTCTCGAACTCAGAAATCCGCCTGCCTCTGCCTCCCAAGTGCTGGGATTAAAGGCGTGCGCCACCACCGCCCAGGCCGGCTTAAAAATTTTAAAGACATAATCATGTAAAATTATCTATAGTGTACTGAAATGTCACCAAGATACACTGAAAAAAAAAATAAAGGAAAAAAAAAACAAAACCACAAGATCCAAAACAAACTATAGTGTGTGTGTGTTTACTCATTATATAGTGAATTTTTTTTTTCTGGATAAATATACAAGAAGATATAAGAGCCGGGCGGTGGTGGGGCACACCTTTAATCCCAGCACTTGGGAGGCTGAGCCAGGCAGATTTCTGAGTTCGAGGTCAGCCTGGTCTGCAGAGTGAGTTCCAGGACAGCCAGGGCTACACAGAGAAACCCTGTCTCGGAAAAAAAAAAAATACCCAGCAGAAGTATTAGAGATAAGAAGTATGTTAAAGAACTCATGAGTTTTACTTTCCTGGCTAGGTGTAGGGTTCACACCAGTAGTCCCAGCCATGGACGGATGAGGCAGGAGGATCATTTGAACCCGAACTTGGTAAATAATCAGTCAATAGTTATTCACATCATCAAAGCTAGTGTCTGGCACTCTGATCCCTGGGCTGCGCTGAAAACCCCTACTTCTCTTTGAAAAGCAGTTTAGCACTGGTCTAACTCACACTTAATACATATTCATTCAACTCAACAGTCACTAAATTCTGGAGTAGT